GGTTATGCACAGTATATATGTGACTGTACGAAAATGAAATGGAAAATAAAAACACATTTACGATGGGGGGGAAAAAAAGACGCTTGCTCCTGGGGAAAAAAGCTATGGCAAATCTACACAGCAGAGATATCACCCTGCCAACAAAAGTGCTTGTAGTCAAGGCTATGGTTTTCCCAGTTGCAATGTATAGCTGGACCATAAGGAAGGCTGAGAGTCAAAGAATTGAGGCCTTTGAACTATGGTGCTGGAGAAGATCATTTGCTAGTAATCAAACTGCTCAGTCCTAGAGGAGATCAACCCTGACTGCTTTTTAGAAGGCCAGATCCTGAAGATGAAACTCAAATACTTTGGGCACCTAATGAGAAGGAAAGACTCACTGGAGTAGAGCCTAATGCTGGGAACGATTGAGGGCAAAAGAAGAAGGGGATGACAGAGAATGAAGTGGCTGGATGAGTCACTGAAACAGTTGGTGTGAGCTTAAATGGACTCCAGGGGATGCTAGAGGACAGGAAGGCCTGGAGGAACATTGTCCATGGGGTTGCGATGGGTTGGACACGACTTCACGACTACCAACAACAACAACAAATATTACCACAGGACAGCAAGTCCTTTTAATCTCACTATTCCTTTCTTATATATATCTGCATGAACACAGCTGGATATCTGTTTTCTCCCAACCTCCCTCTCCCTCTCTCCCTCCATCTCTCTCTCTCTCTCTCTCTCTCTCTCCCTCTCTCCCCCCCCTCTCTCTTTTAATTGCAGCAATCATTTTCGAGATGTTTAAAGTTGTATTACCAAGTCATCAGGGAAAAATTGAACTGGACCAAAATGAACTGAATCAATTCATCCCTTTCCTAAATGAAGGGAATTATTTGAGATTATCTTCCAGAATCTCCAGCCAGGAAACACTTATCTTTCTGACCCAGAGTACACAATGTAAAATGCATAGCTTAATTACACTAAACAATTAAAAATGTAGGATAGAATAAAAGTGAGACCATTTTACTAAAAGCAAATCAGATTGGTATTAGATTAACAGTAAATATTTTTGAGGTTTTAAATACTTTCATAGTAAAATTGTGATTTTAAAAAAATAGCAACCAAATAAATTTTAACTTATTGTAAGGCAAGAATGCCAAGTTGTTATTCATACAGTTCATACATATATTTCACTTGGTTACATATATACATAAAAAATTACAAAATTGCAGTGTGATAAAAATACAGTGAAAGAATAACAATTCAAATGGCACTATTGCTATGTAGATGATAATCATGTGCCTTAAGTGTAAATGCTTGACTCAATTTTGATGTGCCATAACTTACCTTAGAAAGGGGATGGCATGATAATTTCTTGCTATTTAAAAAGAAATAGAGCAGATCTAATACTAAGAAACACACCAGCATAATCCAGATGAATATACTACAGCAGTATGTCAAGTACCTAATACTGATCAAATATTTTTACAGCACCACAGGATAAATCTGGTTTTTCTTCCTAGCAGAGAGTTTTTCCAGGCCTATGTCTTTAAAAGTAATGTTCTGTTATTAGTAGATCAAGCACTGTAACTACCTGAAACAAACGGACTGCCCTGTATCCCTTTGTGTGATTTTTTTTTTAAATTAGAAGAAGCATTACCTCCACAACTTGCGCATCATTCAACCATTTGCTGAGCACTTTCTGGATGAGCTGGAAAACTTGCTGTAATACCACCACTACCTATAAATGAGAATGAACATAGAATATAATTCAGAAATCGGTATATCTTACATTATTTTGAATTTAGCAGAGTATTTATAGATTTTCAGATTTTCTGGTAGAGAGAGGGTCAGAGATTGTCTTGAAAACCTTTTGTGCACCTCCTATTACTACACTAGTAATGCATATCTAACAATATACAATGCATATTGTATTTCTCATTCTCAATGGCTAATGCAAATGAAGCTTATATGTTTTTTTAAGGAATGTTCTGAACACTAAAGCAGACATATAAAAACTGCTTATGATCTTGGGTAACTCAGCTAAGGAGCGTCACTTTAGAATAGAAGAATACAAGGGGAGTTCTAGGGAAGATGGCAGACTAAAGATGGCTCCATGAAAAGAGGAGATAATGTTTGCGGCAGAGGTGGGTTCCTACTGGTTTGGTCAAATTGGCAGTAGTATTTTGAAGCGTCTTCAAAAGGAAAAACAAAAACGTTCAGTTGCCTCCTGAAAAAGCACCTTTGGGACTACTTGTATTAATATACAAAGAAAACTTCTTTAATTATGCAACAATACTCACTGGATTGGGGCCCTGAGGCACTGGCAGTTTTTTAACCTCCGTGTTCTCATGATCATCATCATGGTGACTGATATCCAAAGTGGTGAAGAGGTTGGAGAGTAGACCCAATATATGGATAATAGCTAGCTTGTTAGATGGATTGGGCTGCAACATAAAGTATCACTACAGTCATTATACGTGGCGTAGAATATAGGCCACTATCATCAAGTTTTCTAAGTTGGCATCAATGAGGAATAACAGTATTGTGAAACACAGCTAGCTACTTAGTACTTCATTTTCTTAACAGACTTTGGGCTCATCTTTGCACTCTTCTAACTATAGCATTGATATATACCACTAACCATTTTTAAATTAGATGATCTTGCCTGTAGGAGAGAGACTGGATGAGGTAGGGGAGGAGTCAAATGGGGACTTAGTCTAGAACCTCTATGCAGGCACAATAAGGTGAGTCTGACCCCCTTTAATGCCATTGAACCTTATCTGGTGTCATCCAGATGCAAATGCTTAGTCTGAGAAGATTCCTGTGTACAGGTCTGAGCAATAAAGCAGTTAACTGAACATTTCAAGTGCAGGTCTGGTTGTTTGACATTCACTTAGTTTCATCCCCAGCCAACCACGAAGACAGTTAAAGTCCTATTGAGGTGTTCCAGTTTTAAAATGATATTTTTCAGTTTCTCCCAATATCTATTTGCTGTGGGTTTAAGATTCTTCGCTGATCATGTACTTTAAGTGAAAAATTGGGATCTCCTTGCTCCTTATGGCTACTTTAGATTGCTTTGACATGCCCTCTCTCCTCTAGTCTCTTTTCAAAGGCATTCTGCTTTTTCACATTTCACAATTCTTTTACTATGTAACGGTGGACACTACTGTTCAAGCAGGAGTAGCTTTCCTGCTTTACTGAGCAGCATTCTCCTAAAATACAGATTTTAGTAAAGGGACCCTGAGCGACTGTTAGACTAGATTTGGTCTGCTTCTTCTATTTTGGAACAGATGTGCCTGCCACCAACTTCTAAAGGATAAGGTAAGGGAATTTTAAGACCGCTAAAGCAATGAAGAATGCATGTGTTTGTATGCATGTACACATAGGATTCACACACTTAAATTGATCGAATCTCACAGGCTACCCCACATGCATTTCTCATTCCCCCTCCCCCACCTAAGCATAACTGCAAAGAGCACAGAAATCAAAATGGAACGGCAGGGTCCAATCACTTTGTGGTGATAATACCTTGCCATTAGTGTGCCTCCTAGGGGTTCCCTTTCAGTATTGGCCATGCTCAATTGCTCCATCTCACCTTTTAAGTGGAGCTTTTAGATCTGCAAAACCTATAGTGCAGCCTGAGTAATTGTGGCAGCAGCAAACAAAGTAAGCAGCTTTTTTCTAGTCTGAAAAAGGCATCTCTTAATGGAGAAAGACAATGGAAGAGGAAGCCTGAAAAGGCAGGAGAGGTACTCATGCTTCACTGGGCAGTTCGCCTGTCATTTCCTGGGATGAAGTAGAGTCTTGGTCTGCTAGCAGCGTCTTCCCACCCAAAAGCTGGCTATACTGAAGGTAAGACAGTGATGCCATACACAGCTGCGATGCCTTCACACCTCTTTTATGAAAGAGTGCTAAACCTGTGCCCCAAAGGAGCCCAGCAGATAAGTTACAGGAATAGACGTAGGGGGGAGGATGAAGCAAGAAGGAGCTTTCTTGAGTGAACATCTCAGCCTTTATTTCCATCTCAGGATTTCTGACCAGTACACTGGATTAACAAATTTGAAAAGAGGGTGGGAGACAAAGAGAACAGAAACCCCTTGTGCTTTTCACAATCCATCTTTTTTGCCAGTTATCTGTCACAGCGGAGCACTGCAGTGCAAAGCAGAGGAAATGTGCACTACAGCGCTCTTCACAATTCTTCCTGTGAACCTGATAGTAAGACTCTTTTTGGATATAACCCTTGACTTACAACTGTAATGGAGCCTGACCATTATGATCCTAAGTTATGACAATCATGATCTATGTGACCGATTCAATTTAATGATTTTTGCAGAGGTCATGTTCAGAGGTCAGAGACATGGCAATCGTAAAATAAAACCATTGTTCACTATGAGCCATTTTGTCAAAAACTGGAAGCAAATGGCAGGGTTTTGGCAAAAATGTCATAAAACACAATCATGTGACCACAGGCCACTGCAAGTGGCCATAAATACATGCTTGTTGCCAAGTGCCTGACATGCAGTCATGTGAGTACAGGAGCAGCCACCAGAACCGAGTAGTAAATAGCCATGGGGAAATTTGTTGTAACTTCGAAGAGTTGCTAAATCGTAAGTCAAGGACTACCTGTGCAGCATTTAGTTCCAAAAATAGTCCAAAACTATCAAGGAGCATCAGGGAGCTCTGTCGTGTTATCTCTGTGCAACTCCACTTGGATCATATGAAAAGTGCTAAACCACCCTTCCCAGATACTTTCTATACCCAGCCTATTCCACCCTATCCCATATTAATAAGACCAATCTCTGCTTGTTTTTCTTATTGGCAGATGATTTTGGTGGAAAGGGGAGTGAAGCCAGGGAAATCTACCAAATATTTTAACTAGTACTTTATCAATAATTTAAGGACAGCAATTCTTGCCAGCCAAGTTCTGATGGTAGACTAGGGCTTGATAGTTGGAGCAGCACAGCTGCATCAGCATGCCTTTTGATGGAGGATAGTTCATTAACATAGCCATAAGAAAGTGCCCCATGTCTCTGTTCCCAAGTGTAGAAGTGATGAATGGGATGGTAAAAGGAAGAGTATAAAGTAAAGAACAATGGCAGAAATCACTAATGAAAGGAAGCAAGAGAAGACTTTCAAACTAAGCATGACTTGTAACAAAAAGGAGAAGCATATATAGAAACATATAGCAGGCCTAAATATAAGTATAATCTTTATTGTCATTGTACTTAAATACAACGAAATTGGTTATTTAATAGTGTTCTTTAAGAAAGAACAGAAATCATTAATAGACATCTGACGTAGCTCACCGTTTCATCAGCCAATTTCTCTAATTGTTGGATGTAAGGAGTTATAAGTGAATGTAGATTCTTCAAAATCTCTTCCACTTGGAGGGCAGACAATAAGAAACCCAGAGCCTGCATCAGCCACATACACTGACTTGTCTAAAAAGAAAAGATGGATAGCTTTTTCAATTTCATTATTGCATTTAAAAGTTTCACTTCATCCTCCCACTCAATCCTTAATCATCTACAAGCTTAAAAATGCCTTGTGAGAACTTATCCTGAAACCTGTTTATAAACGGCATGACTCAGTATAGGAACTGTATTGCTGTTATTAGGAGACATAGCTAAATCTCTATTTAAAAACTGAAAGCCTCATTTGTCTCACTAATAAAGCCTCACATTGGTTGTAATGTTCAATTCTACTGAAATGGGTTGATAGGAAACCATATCTTAGGCATACTTGCAATTTCCTGTCAAACGGGGAAAACAATCTTACCTTGTGAATCTGCTTCATTAGCACCTCCTACAGAGGGAAAGAGTCAAGAAAGTGAATGCTGTCTCTAATGCAGAATTTAGTTACATCAAAAAAGCCCTAACCATAGTAGCACTTGAAAATCTTGTGAGCCAAATACAGGTTCTAGGGGAACAGAGGCTCCAGAGAAAAATGGACAAATAAAAAAAAACAGCAATCAGAATTTTATTACAGGCAATTGATTGTAAAGACTTTGCCTCTGGGTTTCTACTTGCTACAGAGTCAATAGAACTGATCATATACAACATAGGTAACATTTAAACAAGGGAAAGAAGATGAGCCATCCTAACTAAATTTCAATTACTGGGAAAATAATGACCTCTACTTTTCGTGCAATCATCTCACCAGAAATCTGCAGTTGGATAAGATACAAATATTATCAATTTTGCTGAATCCATCCATAAACGCATATCGAATACAATATACACCCCTGATCTAGATCAATGCCAAATATTCCTTAAAAATCTTAGATTTTCACTCTTTGAATACCAGTAGTAGGGAATCCTTCCTACCCACCCACCCTCAAGGACTATATATCCTCAGAAAGGAAATTCTAGGTAGACGCTGCATACCAGTAATGAAGAGGACTAAGTTCTACATTTTATTTCCTTATTATTCTGTACACATCCACGCCCACCCACCCATATAAATCTACAAACACATATCTGCACTCACCCTGTGTATACTATGGATGACTCATCCTCTGTTTTTAATGTGGCCTTGCCTCTAACAACATACTGGGGAAAGAAGCTGGAACAGTTGGAAGCTCGCTGTGAGCAATTTTCACCGTTCTCTGCAGAATGCTTTACTTTGATTTGGATTCCAGGGTTGGGGCAGGTCACAAGGAAATAACCAAATAACTTCATATGGTTTCTTTTTCGCTAGTCAATCAAGGACATGGGCAGGGTATGTGAAGAGATGAAGGTCAGCATTTGCTTGCTGAACTACTGACTTTGCTGGCTGATTAGACTGACAGTTACTGTTGCCATGATCAAGGGAAGAGATCTGCAACTATTGAGACAACAATGTGCTCCTGCCTGTTTAAAGGAGACAGTTTTATCACCTCTATTGAAAAAGCCTTCTTTTGACCAAGGGTCTTTTTTTTCTAAATATAGGCTTAGTCTCAAATATTCCATTATTGGGTATGGTGACATAGAGATAATGGATGAAACTTCTGGATCTATTTCAATAAGGGTTTTGTTTATTTTAATTACCCATCTATGATTTTAATTGCATTAAACCATGTTTTGTGTTACCTGAGAGACAGCAACAATGTTGGCAGCATATGGAGGCAAGTCATATTTACACTCACGGCATATCTTCTTAAGAGTAGAGACACTAGAGATAGATAATTCTGGATTGCCCAGAGCCTGCAATACCAAAGGCAGGACATTGTTGATCATTACAGGATGATCTGCCAGCCACTCTGAGAGAGCCCCTAGTAACAAACAGAAAACAAGTCAAGATTACTTTACTGATATGACAAGCAAATCCGGGGAACAGCAAAGCAATTTCAGACATTGCTTGTCTCTGAAAACCTCTTCTCCACACATAATCTCACTCAGATCTATGGGTAATAATGGGCAGCAACCCTTCACAAAGTTAAGCTATCCTTTTGTAACAGCTACATAATCTTAGAATCACAATATTCCCCATTCAACAACATCTCCCCTCCACTTGCCCAATTTCCTCACCAATAGTGAACATCACCGTGTCTGCAAGTTGTACATTGCTGATGCTGATGTGGGGGATAAGGCCGATAAGGCCAGGAACCACGTCTGAATAGTTTACATCTATGGTCTCTGCAATGGACTGGAACCCATAAAGTAAAGCTTCCGTGTTCTGCCAGAAACAAAAAGAGATGTATTCAATCTATCTCCCTCTCAAATTTTGATTCTGACAAAAGAGGTACAGTATGGAGCTAGTTCCCACATAAAAATATAATTGTCATTTTTTACAGTTAATTCCATGATATAAATCCCCCCACCTGAAGCAAGTATTGTTTTTCAAGACTATTACATCTGAATCTGGGATATACATCCCCAATTACACTCACTGTCTTTCTCCTGTGCGTCCATTGCATATATGGCCTGATCAGCAATTGAGTGAAAGTTAAGAAGTTTGGCTTCTCACAGTTTCACTACTTCAAGATGGGGGAAAGAAGCAGCAAATATCTTGCACACATGTTCCTTCTCAATGGGTCTTTTATATAAGAGACCTCACTTAGTTTACAACATGCTCAGTATTCTGGAGCATTGGCATGATTGTTACTTCTAAATGCTTTGGTTTGTAAATCATGGCCAGGGCTCAATTTTTGTTTGCTGTCACAGTGATGGATAAGGAACTCCTGCAGTCACTGACACTTTGTATTTATCATTGTTTGCTACACTGTAGCATTCTGATAACACAGGTGGTGATCTGTTTTGATCAGCTGCCGTATAAGGACATGTGGCCCAACTTTACAACTATCTCTGTGTAGCAGACATATCTAATACCTTTTACTAAGCTAAAAGGACCTGTTTCTGCAACACTAGAGGGAATGGGATTCTACCTTTACTATAGGATTCTCGATATTAATCTGGGAGTAAAGAACTCACAGCTATACGAAGTTCCAGCTTCAATATGAGGCTCCAAAGTACCCAGATCATTTCACTACAGTTCAGATAGAAACATCTGATTATTAGCTGTTTAATTTTCCATTTTACACCCTCTCCTCATTCGTGGCACGACATAACCGCGGTAGACTAAAGCGCGCCGACAACACCGCGGCGCTAAAAGCGCGATGTCAAAAGCGCGCCCACAACAGCGCGCCGACAACAC